GTGATAATGATGTTTTCCTGAGAAGCCATTCCAGTTCCAAAAAACTCAAATCTCCCCATATTTTCTTTAACCCTAAAAGGATTCTTTCTTTTGAGAGACATTTGAGTGGGTGTCAAAGCTGCACTAAACAGTATATAGTTTGAAGTTAAAAAAAAAAAAAAGACAATGGAAGTTTTCCCATAGTTTCTTATGTGATAATGAAAAGCCTACCGCAAGGATCGCTGTGTTCTTGAGGCCAATTTCACACATAGGATCAATGCAAATGAGTTAAAAAAAACTTTCCTTGAAAGAGTAGAAAGATTTGGTAAAGTACAAACTTGTTTCTATTCTGGGTTTAGATTATGTCTCTTCCCCAGGCTGGGACTAGGGTGCGGCAAAAACGAGGCCAAAGGCACAGCATTTAAGGAGGTGCTACCCTGAGAATGAGCACCTCCTTACATGTAGCTCCTTCACCCTTTCCCTTGCCCCACCCTAGTCCAGGCCCTACTTTTCCCAGTTTATCCCCTCAAATGTATATCTTTTCAGAGTTTGGATTTTCAGAGCTAAGTCATGGCTATGAGAGCAGGATTGGGGGAAAGCTTGCAGAGCCCTTTCTCCACCCAGAGAAAGAGAGTAGTCACCTCTGGTCACTGTGCTTTAATAATTTTTACCACAATATGCTTTGGCTTGCATCTCCCAACTTTAGTGCATTGGCATTGAATACAAAGGGCTCTTCCGAATTAGATCAGCGCAGTTGGTGCTAAGTTACCTTCTCGGGAAATCTGACAGGTCTTCAGACAAGGGTAACCTACATTCCATTAAGTGATGCTTTACACTGGAGAAATAAATCCCAGTCATTCTCCACAGGACAAATATTAAAATTTTGTATAATTTATAGTTCTTGGCTAATTCAATGTCACTCGACCAGATGAGTCAAGATGAGTTCTTTCACAGAGAAAGGTGTCTTCTCTGCATTCAGGCACCCAACATCACGGATAGTAGGTGTTTTATAAATGCCCATACACATGAAGAAATACCACACTTACCAGGAATTAATCCTTGGCCTCTCAGGACCTAGGCCCTTTAAACACCAGAACGGGCAGAGCCAGGAATCTGTCCCAATGGTTTAAATACCAACCACTGCCACTTCCTCTTTGCAAAAACCAATTGTTCCTCTGGCTTTTGCTGACATGCACTTGTCCATGTCCTGTTTTGTGAGAGTAGAGGTTCTAGCTCTCTCCTCAGTCCTCGCTGCTTGGAGTGATTCTCACCCTGTTCTAGACCTATTCTATGCCTGGAGACCCATTTCCACTGGCACGTCCTCAGCAGAAACTACCTCAGCTACTCTGACTCCAAGCTTCCCAAGACCCTTCCTGTCCTGCCTCCTGACTGGCAAGCACACATGCTGAATGCTGCCTGGGAACAGTTTGGATGCATTGCTCGCCTAGTGAAGAGCTCTACCGACAGATTCAGAGACCTGGTGCAACCACAGCTGCCATCTTGAGATCTCCACCATCAGCACACACCTGGGGTTCCGCCCAGCAAGTGCCACCCAGCACTCTGCTCTACCCTCCTGGAGGCAGTTGATTCTTTTCTGCTTTTTAGACCTTGGGCCTGCTCTCTTCAACCTGCTCTCAAAGCCCCTGATATCCTCCATACTCTATCAGACACAGTTAGTATGGTTGGGAAGAGTATTATTTTAATACTGTGAGGTAGAACATATAGAAAATTGCACCAATAAGTAATTATCATAATGAAACAAATGACCAGAAAGAGAAGTAAATGCCTATCTGCTACTGGCATGTAAAGGAACTGGAGCTGGGGGAGGAAAGAGAGAGGAGAAGAGAATGGAGCACTCATGAGTGTATTATCTAGGCATTTGGCAGGTGAAAAATCTGTCCAAGTTTGGAATTGGTACCTCTAGCTTCCCCTGGCACTCTTTGCTACAGCTCTTTTGGGAAACATACCAAAATATTATCTACTAGAGGCCTGATGCACAAATTTGTGCATGGGTGGGATCTGGCCAGCCCACCCGGATTAGAGCCTATCTGGTTGGGCTGGCTGGGAGGGAGGTCACCGTGGGCAGTTGGCTGGCCGACCCCACCTTCTGGTTGAACTCCCAGTCCAACTCCTGGTCCAGGGGACAATTTGCATATTAGCCTTTTATTATATAGGATACTCTTCTTCACTGTCAGTAAGTAAATGGTAACATTTCTTTCTAAGGAAACTGAAAAAAAATTTAAATGAGGGACCATTTTATTTAGCTTGACACCAAAGTTATTTCAGTTTATAAGAATTAGACTATGTGGTATTTGGGATAAATCCAAAGATATTAACAAATCCCATTTTAAAAGAGTTTGGATGCTTCCCTATATCTAAGTTCCCACAAAAGTCAGGATGGAAACAGTAGCAGAGGGAAATGGAAAACATCTGACTGGATATTCGTAGCACACCAGTTTAATGGCAAGGCTATCACTAGCATAGCCTTCTGATAGGCAGTTTGGCCAGAGAAATTAAGAGCTTTAAAATATTCAAATCATTTGAAAAAAATTATTTCACTAATAAGAATCTATCCTGAAAGAATAACTAGAAAGCCAAAGATTCCCAAAGGGGCAAAAGAAAGTATTGTAATTGAAGCTTTTGAATATGATAGTGATTGCTTAATAACGAACTAAATGTCCAACAGTAAGAGACTAGTTAAATATATAATGATACACACAGTACAACCACAGACAGTCATTATAAGCATGTTTTCAAGTCGAACACAGTTATAATATTAAACAAAAAAGGAGAAACTCAAGTTGTAAATACAATATGATTTAAATTCCATTAAAATAACCCCTCACAAAGGAAAAAGAAAAAATGAAAATGCCCTCAAACCATAAAGCCTGTTTATCTCTGGTGATGAAATTGTGGATGAGTTTGTTTTTCTGTTTATAGGTGATAGAATAATAGGTGATTTATAGCTTGCTTTTTGTTTTCATGGCATCAGCAAAAGAGGACAATACCTAGTGCTTTAGAAATTGTCACTCATGGACGATCCAAGAGCAAAGATTCCAAAATAAATGATCCTAGTACAATACATAAGTCGTCAGAAAGGATGATCAAATAGGACTTAACTTCCTCTCCCCACCCTCAGGTTGGGATGGCAATAGAACCACCCCAAGAACAGTGTGGAATCCCAGAGCAGAGGGGGCTGGGGCCTCACCACAGGATGGGGGAGGTAAAGGGACACTCAGCACAGGGAGACATCACACCATAGGGAGAAGCTTGCTGAGTAGCAGGTGGCATCAAAGCAGTGGTGGGCCATGACTGCAGGAGGTGTCTAGACAGATGGGCTTGAAGGCAGCTTTATGACATGCCCACATCGTAGGTGGGCACAGCAGCTAAATGTTCCCAAGTTTAAGGTTTAAGGAGGGAGTAGCACTTACTAGTAGATGAGAGAAGGCCTGTAGTCTAGAAAGGGTCCTGAGATAAGGGGACTCCTGATTGGGATGCACGAGGACTTTTTTTCTAGGAACTAGATGGGGCAAGAGGACCTGAACTCCTGGGTGGACATGCCAGGTGGGTGTGACCAAGGACAGATGCACTAAGAACAAATGGACATGCCAAGCGGATGTGACTAAGGACAGATGACTAAGGCCTTTGCAGCCTAACTAGGCAAGAGAACACCTTTCTCTGCCCTTGGCTAGAGTGGTATTTGTATAAGTTGTCCCCTCTCCACTTCAGACTTGCTTTGAACCTCATAGGGGAGAGAAGCATGAGAGGCAAGCAATCCTTGGGACTGGGTTTCAACTCAAGTGTCTGGGAGAACAGGTTACATGGAAGCAATTACACTTTCACAAGAGAGATCAGCGTCAAAAACTCAATTGTATGGTGGAAAAATAAAGTTATATTTTACACACCTGAGCTTATGACATGAAATATTCACTCACTGCATATATTTTTGTTATTTTCAGATTTTTTTTTACTAATGTCCATATTTTGTATTTTAAAACAAGAAGAAGAAAAAAAAAATACATCGTATCCACAAACAGTTGCTTATGAGTTAAGACCCTGCAGAAAATGGGGCAAAGGCTATTGGAAAGTCACCCCTGGTTTTGAGAATCATCTTGGCCAGAGCTGGTTTTGTGTCTGTAAGAGCCAGGATCTCCCTCTCAAAGAGAACCCGGAGGCCTGACCACATCTCTGAACTTCTGTCATTGAGATTCTGTGTTAGTGTAGGAGCAACTGTGAGTAAATGTGCAACGTCCTTCTAGCTACTTTCTATGCCTCATCACATTCCCCCCTTGTCTGCTTCCCTCCCCCAGCAAATCAATATTAGTGAGGTTCCCTGTAGACGACCCCATCTTTTTCCAAAACCAAGTTTTTTTCTCTGAAGCAATAGCAAACAACAGAACAAATCCACCCACACACAAGGATGACCTCTAACTGTTTGAAGAACACATTGGTCTCTGTGTTAGGGCTTTCATGTTCCAGGCTGAACCATGCCAGGTCTTCACGATATTTTCCAAGGCTCCTGCTATCCTTCTCACCTCCTTGAAAATTACACCTGGTTTTGTTTAGGGCCTCTTAAAATGGAGCCAACAGCGTGGCCCTAAGCTTACTGTGGCCCAGAAAGACTTAAACTCTCCTAAGCCTTCAAAGGACATTTTGGAGGCCCCTGCAGTGTCTCAGCCTGTAGTGGGGGACTCAAAACCAGAGCTTTGCCAAGTGAGTGGCTGCTAGCCCAGAGCTTCCTCTGCTGCATTTATGCACTTGTGGGACCTTGGGTTGCAGGGCACACAGGGCCACTGGTGCCAATCACACTCAGCCACCCAGGAGGTCAGGGATGTATGTGCTGTCACCTCCAGGGCCCTGGCAATGAGGTCTGTAGATAAGAGGATGAGGAAATATGGAACTCCATCTTGCTCTGCTGCTCCTGGCCCTCTCCTGCTCTGCTATGGAAATCCCCTCCTCCCCAATCCCCACTTTAGGCAGAAGCATCTTCATTCTTTCCTTCTTGCCTCCAAGGTTCTTACCTAACATCTTGGCATCTCCCATTGCTCCTCCTTCTTACTCTAGATGCACCCCTTGCTATATCTGTGGGCCTTGTCCTCCCTGTAGAATCCTTCTAGAAGAGATAACACTCCCTAACATTAGAGGGTTTCATCAAATTGCTGCACATCCCTCCTCACAGACCCCCGTGTGTGCTCAAATCATAATAGAAGACACTTCCTCTGTTGCCAAACCCACAGTACTCCAGGATTGTGCCAGCTCCCCTCACCTCCATGCACACCACATCCCCCCAGCCTCCTCTCTTTGCTGTTGTTCCCATGTTCTCATGCCACCACCGCCCCATCCCCAGAAGCATTGATTTGGCAGGTTTCTTGGGGCCAGCAATGTCCTAACCTGTTTGTTTTTCCAGGGCTGATGTTTGCAGGAATTTTCTTGGAACCACAACAAAAATCATCCCACGTCCTTATGCAATTCCTCTGGGAGGCTTTGACAGATAAATAAAGCCCGTGGCCCCTCCACTGGTCTACCTTTCCCAGAGAGCACCTGGGTTTCTTCTGAAGCCTCCAGCACCTGTCCACCTGCCAGGGCCTCTCTGGAGCAGCCATGAAGTCCCTCATCCTGGTCTTTTGCTTAGCTCAGCTCTGGGGCTGCCATGCCGTCTCGCCGCCTATGATAGGTCTGCTTTATAGAGAGGTGAACTGTGATGACCCAGAATCAGAGCAAGCAGCCATGGTGGCCATGGACTACCTCAACAAGAACCTTTTTCGGGGCTACAAGCACGCCTTGAACAGGATTGAAAAAGTGAAGGTGTGGCCTCGGGTAAGTAAACCTCCTTCGTATGAGCTGAAAGAACCTGTTTGTGGAGCTTAACTGGGTGTCTCAGAAGATCACATCTCCCAGCAAAAAGGAAAGTGCAGAGGAGGTAGACTCTGATTTCTTCCCCAGAGGGAGGGAGGGGGCAGGTGCAGGGCAAGAAAGGACACATCCTCTTCTGTAGTCATGGTTCTTGGCAAGGAAAAGGTTGGGGGGTAGGGGAGATTTATAGGAGAAGAAAAGGATAATTTGAAGTTCAAAGGTAGAAAGTGGTTTGTTAGAAAACCCAGGGTGCAAGAGACTGAGTTCGAGTTGCCAAATTACCACTGACTGGAAATCACTTACTGTTCTTTGCTTCAGTTATTTCTGGATGAAGACAGGGTGAATGAAACTCGCATTTGACAACTTACCTATTATATGCCAGGCCCTTTCACATATATTATCTGCTTACTCCTTCCATCCCTCGCCCCTAGTCCGGTGTGATAGGTATTGTCTTTGTCTTACATAAGAGGAAAGCAAGGATCTGACAAATTAGGGCTCCTACCCCCCAAGGGCATATAATTAGTAAGCATTGATCTGGGATTCATTTCCAGACCTGTGTTCCTTCATCCACACAAGCTACCTCCCAGATTCCACATTCCAGAGAGGAGCTGGCATGAAGGAGAATTACGTCCTCACATGCTGGGCAAGAAACCAATGCAGTCAGCGACAATAAAGGTCAAAGCTAGAAAACATGGATTGGGCATCAATTGAGAGAACTGGAGAAGTGGGGAGAGGCATCTGTCTCTTGACTATTTTGAAATTAGATTGTTTATCTGATGAGGAATAATTCTTTTAGCAAAGGTTGAGTACAATTCTTCTGTGGGCAAGAACTAGTGTCAGGTGCTATATTAGGTTGAACCATACAAAAATTGCCATTTTTGTATATTAAGAACAATCAAATATTGGCTTTTTTGTTAATCCTTACTCAAGGATATTTTCCATTGACTTTTAGGGAGAGTGGAAGAGAGAGGGAAAGACAGAGAGATACAGTGATGTGAGATAAATAGATCAATTGGTTGCCTCCTGCATGCACCCTGACCAGGGCCCAGGCCAGGGAGGAGCCTGCAACTGAGGTATATGCCCCTTACTCCTTACTGGAATCACACCCAGGACCCTTTGGTCTACAGGCTGATGCTCTATCCACTGAGCCAAACTGGCTAGGGCCAAATATTGGCTTTTTAATGGTTCAACCCAATACAAAGGTAAGAAAAGACATAGTTCCCACAAGAGTTTTAGAATCTAGAAAGGGAAAGAAGGTAAACATCAAGATTTCTAAACCGACTAACTTCTGGGACAAAATATCTAAAATCAGGATTGTCACAGATGGATTCTAGGAGCTCTGCAAACATACTGATGTACAGAGGAAACTGATCAATTCAGAGGGAATAGCACACAACATGCATCTGTGAGGAAAAGTTAATGAATAGACGTTGTGGTTTTCTTTAAAGGCAGAGCTTGGGAGTCATTTTCCTTGAGAAACCCAGAAGTGTGCGACTCCTACCGCCTGCACATCTGGATGTTTTCAGGAAGTTAACTTGGGCACATCTGCTTATCATAAAACACAGTTTTCTCCCATGGAGGAGATTCTGAGGCTTCAGGTACTAGCGAGTAAGAGAGAACAGAGGCAATAAGAGGCAAGAAGAACTGGGGTGAAATAAAAAAAAAAAAAAGGCATATTCATACTTTCTTGATTTTGCAGGCTTTGAAGAAAGGATACAGAAACAGGTGAACTGGCAAGAACAATTTCAACGAGTTATAGCTCTCCTATCACTGCCTCCTCCACAACTCCTGATTTATGCTAGTGACTTACACACTACACTGCCTCCTCTGTCAGAGGAGCTCCTCTTCCCCCTCACCACCAGCAGGGGGCAATAGAGGGGCGCAACTTTGCATCTGTCATTTACAAGCCCAAGACAAAAGCCAAGGACTTGTCCTTTAGGAAGAAAAAGAAAACGGGGAAGGAAGGAAAGAGAGGAAAGGCAAAAAGAAGTAAAGGGAGGGATGGAGACAGCAAGATATCATCCTCCAGCATCTTACGTTACTGCTTCACTGAGGAAAAATCCAAACCTGACTTTTTAAAAGCATTGTTTGAAGGGCGAAATTTTAAAAATTAAATATGTGCCAGCTTTCACTTTTAGCTTCCAAACAGAGCTCAAAGTGATTCCTGTGATTCCATCACCTGTCCAAGCCCATGCCCCCTCCCCCTTCTTCCTGTAAACACCCTTAAGCACCTGCCCAGCCAATAGAGGAGGAGAACCAGGAAGCCCGCATGTGGTTTCACCCACGGGCAGCTCAGCGCTGGATGGAGTTGCACACAGTAGGAATGACTTTCCTCACCTCTCCAACAGGTGGTGGGTTCAAGCCCAAAGGGGGCTCACCCTTTGGCCTGATCATCAGGAGCAGGGCAATACGTTGCTCACTTCTTCAATCTGTGTCTCCACAGCGGCCCTTTGGAGAGGTGTTTGAGATGGAACTAGACACGCTGGAAACCACCTGCCATGCACTGGACCCCACCCCCGCAGCCAACTGCTCTGTGCGGCCACTGGTGGAGCACGTGAGTGGCCCTCTTCGGGTGATTTCGGATAGTGGCCCAACCAGTTCCACCATGGTTCTGTATAGATCAAGCCTCTTTATCCAGCTGCCCAGCCTGCCCTCATGGTTAGCCAGTGTGCAGTTTCTAAAATTGCCATTTGAAGCCTCCTTCCCTGGGGCTAATTTTTGCAACAGTTCAACTTTCTTATTGCAGCCCTCCTTGCAAACAGAGAGTGTAATGTGTCAATATGCATCCTCTCCCCTCCCCACCAAAAAAGGTGATTCTGTGAGGCCCACCTTTGACAACCATGCCTGAGGGACCAACTCCTCCCTGGATGAGAAGTGAAAGGCCAGCCCTCCTCCCAGGCCCTCACTGTGGGTTTATTTCTCTAGGCTGTGGAAGGAGACTGTGATTTCCGTGTGCTGAAACAGGCCGGCCAGTTTACTGTATTGTCCGTAAAATGTGATTCCAGTCCAGGTAGAGATGATTCTTCTTACTTTGACCTTGTAGAGAGAGCGAGGAAGGAACCTGCATTGTTATCAATGTTCTAGCCACTTTGTTGGTGAGGAAAAGGAGAAGCCATACTTCCTGGGTTCTGGGTTTGTAAAACTGTTTTAGGGAGCTATTCTCGTTGGAGGTGAAAGTTGCCCCTTGATGAGAGGGGCTCCTGCAGAAATGTCAGCATGGCAGGAGCCACCTGAAGATTTAGTAAGAAGCAGGGATAATGTAAAATAAGCGAAATAAATTATCAAAGACAAGGATCACATGATGTCTCTCATATGTGAAATCTAATGAACAAAATGAACTGATGAACAAAATAGGTCCAGAGACATAGAAGCATGGAACAGACCGTCAAATCTCAGAGGGAAGGTGGAGGTGGGTGGGTTTGGGGGGTGAGGGTGAGGATGGGAGAAGATTAACCATAGCTCTTATATGCATAACCCATGGACACAGGCAATAGTGCAGCGAAGGCCTTGGGGGGAGTCAGGGAAGGGAGGTATCAATGGGACATCTGTAATACTTTCAACAATAAAGATTTTTTTGTTTTTTGTTTTTCTAAAGAAGCAGAGAAAACGCCGAAAGCCACTTGGGTCCTGTCTTAGCCTTTTCTAAGAGCTGGGGTGAATGCCCTGGAGAATAACAACCCTCCCTGATCCTTCTCTCTGTGCATAGACTCCAGAGAGGACTTGAAAAAGATGTGCCCAGACTGCCCCGTGCTGGCCCCGCTTAATCACACCAAGGTGGTGCATGCTGCAGACGCTGCTCTGAAAGCTTTCAACACTCAAACTAATGGCTCCTATTTCCAGCTTGTGGAACTTACCCGGGCTAACATTGGGGTAAGACTGAGACTGTTTGATAAACTGAGCAGTTTGGTGGCACTTCGGGAATGCACATGGTGAGGGGCAGAGCAGGTGCAGGGGCAGCAACAGGAAGGCAAGAAGGATGGGGAAAAGAGTCCTGGAGAATATGGAGACCCTGAGTGTCATCAGGATCTCAGTGTCTCTCTAACATAAAACAGCCAGACGCTTTCAGTCCACAGTTTCTCAACTCTTGTTAACCCTGTGGCTATTGGTTCAGTGGGTGGGAGTTCCCACTTTGTTCAGAAGCACCCACGGGAAATTCATGGGTCTCCCATCTTTATCACCCATCCTCACTGACCCTCTGCAGCACCCTCCTAACTGATATTTATAAAGGCGTGGACCTACTTACACAGATAGGTGTATAATGCTGGGATCCTAAAATGCCTTTTGAATCACTGACAAAATCTGATTATACTGTGGATAATTTAGCACATTTGAATGCAACAGAATTCTAATATTTAAGGAAACTGGTTTTCTGAATACCAGCCATGGCATATTTGGAAATCTATTACCAGAATATGTGATTCATGGGGGGGCGGGGACCCTCACCCCCAGACTATACCAAATATCAGGAATTTTATTATTGTGTCTCTATGTTCCATAAGAACTATTAAAAAAAGAAAAGTATAAGTATCTTCTATACTTTCATTTCTATTTTTTTCCATTTGATCCTGCTCTCTACAGTTGATGGGAGAGGAATCAATCTATTTCTTTACTTTCCCGCTCTATTTTGGAATTACCTGAACCTCGGGTCTCAAAGTGCAGCCCAAGAGGGAGGGCTGGGGTGCGGGAGGCAGGGTTCTCACCCAGCTCATTGTAAGGTTGGCCACTGGGTTCCTGCTTCCTATTTGCAAACTCACTCTGCCCTGAATGATGGGCAGTGGATCCTTAAACCTCTTTCAGGGGAGACCTGCTCCCAAACTCTGTATTTAACATTGGAGAACATGAAGCCACAATAACTGCCCTCTACACCCCATTGGACCATCTTTTCTGGCCACTAACCGTGGTTTGTGTGAAAAGTGCTCTCTGGAGTGTGCACTGACAGGGCCCTTGCTACTTCTCTCCAGCCTCTCTTTCCCTGCCTTTTTCATGTCAAGTCATGTGATCTCATGAGCATTTTCATTTCTCTCATCAGTATTTATCACGTACGACCTATGTGGAGTTTGCAATGGCTGCCACTGACTGTGCTGCTCAAGAGGTCACAGACCCAACCAAATGTAACTTACTGGCAGAAAAGGTAAGTGGGCCAGGCCCTGGGGATGGAAAAGTTGGTTGTAGAACAGAGCATCCTTAGAGCAAGCTAAGGAAGTTAATCTCAGGGCTGTGGAAAGGGGATCACAGTGCAAAATACCCACTCCCTGTGGGGCTGGGTGCTGCCAGCCTTCTTCTGAGGTGTCACCTCCTCGCTTTAAGAACTGTCCTCACATCATTTCACCTGCTGAAGGTCCCTGGTGTTAGGAAAATGACAGAGATTGTTTCTAACTAAGCCAAATCATGTCTGATTGTTGGGACTGTGGAATATAGATTTTTCTAGACATACCCCTAGTATTAAATCTTTCAAGTCATTGGGCCAATAAAGTCCACTTCTAGGAATTTTGCCTAATGAGAACATTGGAGATGTTTGACAGAACTATATCTATATACACATGAAACTAATACAAAAAATAATATTGAATATAAACTGTAATTAAAAATACAATTTGAAAAATACATTAATTAATTAAAATAAATTAGTTCCATAATTAATATATATCTGTAAAGATAATTTACCATCCATACATAATGACCCATAGAAGATTTGAAATGTCTAACAGGGGAGAGTGACTGAGTAAAATAATGGCACATCAGTAAATAGAAAATTATACAGATACTAAAAATTATGTTTTCAAGAAATAATGAATGACATAAGAAAATGCTCTCATATTATAGTAAGTGAAAACACATAGTATCAAATGTTATAGTTACAATGACCCAAATTTTTAAATGATATTCAATCATTATTTTAAAATAGAAAAATACATAGACATTAATGAAAATGCTCCTGAGGGGTTATGGGGGATTTCTTCTACACTCAAAGTGTTTCTGTATTTTTTGCATTTTATACAGAATTATATGTTATACTAGAGACCTGGTGCATGAAATTCGTGCATGGAGAGGCAAGGTGTATGTCCCTCAGGCCAGCCTGCACCCTCTCCAATCTGAGACACCTCAAGGAATGTTCGACTGCATGTGTAGGCCCAATCCTTCTCAGAATCCAGTACTGCTGGCTCCCAATTGCTTACCTGCTTGCCTGCCTGATTGCCCCTAACTGCTTCTGTCTGCTAGTTTGATCACCCCCTAACCACTCTCCTGCAAGCCTGATTGATCCCTAACTGCTCCCCTGTCAACCTGATTGCCCCTAACTGCACCCCCCTCCCCTGCCGCCAGCCTGGCCTCCCTTAACTGCCCTCTCCTGATGGCCTGATCGCCCCTAACTGTCTTTCCCTGCCAGCCTGGTTACCTCTAACTGTCTTACCCTGCTGGCCCAGTCATCCCTAACTGCCCTTCCCTGCCAACCTGGTTACCGCTGACTGCCCTCCCCTATAGTCCTGGTCATCTCTAACTGCCTTCCCCTGCTGGCCTGGTTGCCCACTACTGCCCTCCCCTGCAGACTTGGTTCTCCAAACTGCCCTCCCCTGCAGGCCTAGTACCCCCCAACTGCCTTTCCCTTCAGGCCTGATCCCCCCAACTGCCCTCCCCTACAGACCTGGACCCCTTAGGACCATCTTGTGGTGGCCATCTTGTATCCACATAGGGGTGGCCATCTTTGATTACGTGGGGTGGTCATCTTGTGTGTTGTAGTGATGGTCAATTTATATATTACCCTTTTATTAGATAGGATATCTTATGTAAGCAGAAACTGTAAACTTTAGAAAACTGTATGTGTTTTTTAAAAAAGAAATTAAGAATTCAAGGATTTGTTTTCTTTCCTTTGACATGTTTATCAATGAAACTGGGGGAGAAATCTACTATTGAACTAGTTCTAATAACTCCTATCTTTCTGTGGCAGCAATATGGTTTCTGTAAGGGGACAGTCACTGAGATCCCTCGTCAGGAAAAAGTTTCAGTGACCTGTACAGTGTTCCCACCACAGGTAAGGGAGTCATGGTTACATTTGCCATCATGTCCCCTTGACATTTATGTAGTGTGTTAGTAATTACAGGGAATTTGCTGCCCTGACCCACATTGATAAATAGCACTGGGGTATGTGGAACAATCACCAAATGGAAGGGTATTTTATCCATTCCTTCCCAGCCCAAGAACTGGTACCTATAGGGTAGAACTGTCCTAGTAGGCATTTGACAAGGCCACTTTTTATTTGTGGGGTGGGAGAGGTTTTCTGAGTTGCAGAGACTAGGTGACTAGATCTTCCCAGCAGCTCCCAGTGGTTACAGGTGTAGATGACAAAGAGGGTGACACTGCTGGTGAAGATTAGCCATCAGGTGGGGTGCTTTTGCTCATGGGACATGTCTAAGTCCACTATTCCCAAGACAATTGGTGAGAAGGGGCTACCATATACCAATTACCCATCTCTTATAATCCTTTACACCTAGTTCTTTTCTGCCATATTCCATGTAAATTGAAATTTTTGCTGAGAAAGAATTGGGTGTGGTTCCACACAAAAGCCTGGGTGGCCTTATCTGGGAGGAGAAAGATAGATAACCAATGCAATGGTTCTCTCTCCTGCCTATATTACCACAGACTCAACCAGACAACAGCCCTGTGGCTTCACCTCCTCCAGCTACCCTGCTCGCAGCTCCTGAGGCATTGGGACCCCTGCCACCCCTGCCGGCGAACCGGGCACACCATGACCTTCGCTACTTCCTCATGGGTACAGCCTCAGTGGAGTCTGCCTCAGGAGAAGCAGGGAAAGCACCCAGTGTGGTGCAGCCTAGCGTGCCTGTTGCTGCCGGTCCAGTGGTCCACCCTTGCCCCGGGAGATACAGACACTTCAAGGTCTAGATGAGAAGACTGGCAGAGAGAACATAGCTACCATTTTGTCCAAGTTTGAGTAAGGGTAGGGGCCTTGTCTGCTACCAAGGCAAGTGCTATTACATGTGGTCTAGATTAATATCAAGTCTTGAATTCCAATTCTCTTCCTTCTTCAGAAAACAGAAGCAAAGGGTACGATGGTTATGTTTGATGAAAGGCATAAGGCTAGCAACTTATCATTGTTCTGATACTAAGCCACCACCATTATGTTCTCTGCCTTCTTTGACCTCACAAAAACAATTGTAACAGTGACTTTCAGAGGTGCTCTTGCCAAACTTATATTTGCTTGTTAATAAAAGTGTCAGAAGTATCTTCCTGAATAAAGAAGGTTCTAAGCAGAAATGTAGTCATAATTATTGCCTATTTTTTCTAAGCTCATGTGTGTGGGCTGTCTTCCCAACATCCACTCTACAAGTGTCCCTAAGCAAAAGCAAAATAAAAATAGAGACAAAATAGAACAAAAATATGCTGTATTACTAAAGACAGGAAAAAGTGAAACTAGAATCTGCTAAAATACCATAAGATATTCCCATTTCCTTATGAGAAAATAATTATTTTCATTTCATAAAGGTAAAAAAAATATGGCTAAACAAAGACCAAGTGCCTTAACTTTGTATAGACAAACCAACCATTGTTTTCCCCAATACCCAGGTAAGGCGAGATTGACAATTAACACAGGCATGAAATTTAATTACACTGCTTATTATTTACTTTTAAGATTACTGTTGATTGTACCGTACACACTTCATGTTATGATGCAGGATTGGTCTTTCCAACCAATCTCTTTTAAGGCTTTAAGTGAAAGCTTTATTTATAGTATGACTAGATAAGGGGTATGTGGACAGATAAATTCAGTGGACATTTGTACGCACCATTAAAGTAGTTGGATAACATAAAGGTATAAACAATTCCCATTATAGAATGGTGCCTAGACAATTTCATTTTTTTCTGAGTGACCTAAAAGATGGGCCCTTTCATATGGAATTTTAAAGGGCAGGACTAACAACCAGTTAGTAGCTTCACTTGAACCAAGAAGACTGAATCAAACATTGACCCTCACCTTATCACTCTTGCCTAGAGGTGTTGCCAATATTCCAGAAGGAATGGCCAGGAAGGTGGGAAAAACACTAGGTATCTTAGCAGTCAAGGAAGACAAGGACAGAATGGTCATCTGGATTAAATGCTGCAAAAAGATCAATGAAATGGGAACTGAGAAAAGGCCATGGGTAGTTGACCTTCTTGGAGGTCATGGTAACCACTGGCAAATGCAGTTTTACTAGTAGGATGGGTGTAAAAGTCTAGTTGCAGAGGGTTGATTGGTGGTATGTCTATGATAAGGACATGGAGGGGCATATATATTCTCTTTCAAGTAGTTTGATGGCAAAGGGTGGGAGAAATAAGATCTAATTTAAAAGGATAATTGGGTGGAAAAAAGACTTATTTTAAACAAAGTTTTGAGACTATTTAGGGCAAAATATAGAAATAGGTGGGAGAAGAAATAAAGGAAATGATGGGGCAAGATGCCAGGAGAGATATTTAGTGAAGAACTGGAATGAGATTTGAGCAACTCTGCTAAGAATTCTAATTCTTCACTGGAGCTTGACTTAGATCTTGAAGAGTCCCATTTCAACTAGTGCTAAAAGGGACTCACCTTCTGTCCAACCTTGTACACACAGGTTTGGCTGTAAGGGAGTATTAGTCACAATATTTTCCATGAAGAGTGAGTGATAGATTCTCTACCCAAAGTAGCTTAGTAAAAAGGATAATATGTACTGAGAATTCAAATGGAGGAGTCCTACCTAAGGCCCATCTAGATCCAGAGATTCAAAAGATATCATATCTTCCCTCCCCTCCTCCTCCTCCTCCTCCTCCTCCTCCTCATTCTTTTTCCCGTTCTCCTCCTTTTCCTCCTTTTCCTCCTTTTTCTCCTTTTCCTCCTCCTCCTCCTCCTCCTCCTCCAATAGTTGATGGATATTAGGATAATATAAAATTAATTTCCCAAATAATCCCTTTTTGTTAAATTTTGCTAGTGTTGACACAACTCCTATCTCTGCATTGACTTTTAAGATATTTTATCACCATCCCTAAAATGTTCATTTTCTTCTTCAATTGGGACGTCCATTTCCATCTTATCATTAAGACTTTGACAGCCTCAGGGACTACCCCACATTCACCAATAGCTTTAGTGTCTCTCCTCTCTAGCCTCAGCCAACTTCAACACCTCATGGTCCCCCTCCCAATCTCTCTCCCCCACATTGCCTCCTCTACTGTTTCTGCCACCCCTTGTTCCCATTGTCACACCTTCACAGAGCAGTTGACTTCATCCTGATGATGAATGCACCTTTGCTCTGCCCTTATTCACCTTTTCATCCACCTCTCAGTTACCCTGGATCAGGTTAAACTGGTTGTTCGGCCTCACTCAGAGCTTCATCCTCTCTATTTTTATGTATTAGTCCACCTGTCAGACCCCTCCTGGTTTCACCTCCTTATTTGTGAGCCCCAGGCCTCAGTCAGTGATTTCATTGATAATCACACAAGCATTCTCTACCTCTGTCCTCTGTACCACATGCTTTTCCAGTGCCCAACTCCAGGTGGACCTTTCCATTCCTGTTTATAGCCTGCCCTGTCCAATTGAAGGGCTTCCTTTAGCAAGTATATTGATACCCTGACAAATGTTGTTTTCTATCCTTAGATGGGACCATGAGGTTACCTACCCTCATACTCCTCATTTTTACTTTATTTCCCATTACATACAATGGCTTATCCACACATTTGCTTTTCTCAAGTCCTTGATCACACTCTTACATCTTGACTCTCAATTGACTGAAACTCCCAGTTTCCAAATAAAGTGTTTCCAAGTAAAACTTCCCTCCACTCTCCTCCAGTAACTCTCCAAAGTCGCCAGTTGTTGCTTCCTTCTCTCTAGCTTAGATTAGATATTTTCCTCTTTTCTCAAGCTGTTGCCCCACCCTACCCCACTCACTCATCTTCCCTAACTAGTATGGCTTCCACTAGGGGGCATGCAATAGGCAGCTGATGGATGATTCTCATCATTGAATAGAGGCCCAGTGCACAATATTCGTGCATGGGGTTGTGGTTAGGAGGCTCAGCCTGGCCGGCCTGCACCCTATCACAATCTGGGGCCCCTCAGGGGATGTCTGACTGCCGATTCCTGTGGGATCGGACCTAAACTGGCAGTCAGACATCCCTCTCAAAATCCAGAACCGCAGGCTTCTAACCACTGGCCTCCCTCCCTGCCTGATAATCCCTAATCACTCTGCCTGCCTGCTTCATCTCCCTTAACCACCTCTGCCTCAGTACCCGCTGCCTCAGCCTGTCATGACTTTGTCCAGAAGAACATCCATGTTCGGAAGGTTGTTCAACTGTCTGGTCTAATTAGCATATTATGCTTTTATTATTATAGATGTTTCTATCTCTCTCCCTCTCCCTTCCTCTCTGAAATCAATAAAAATATATTTATTTTTTTGTTATTTTCTTATACGTACACAGCTAAGATTACAGAAGTTAGGACAAACTATATCAATGGAGTTAATTTTTTTTTTATTTTTTATTGAATGGGCTCACTAGCCACAGCCCTTACCATGTTCAGAAATGAGGATGGAAAATACTATCAGGCTTAATTCATACTAGGATTCATTACATCATGTCATTTGGTATGGTATTATGTTTATTTCACTCTAATTTCAAAACTATAAATTTTGCACTCTTTCAACCTGGCCTTAACCTAAGTGGTCTCCTTTTTCCTTTAAGTGCAATTTGGTTTTTATCTCCACTGCTCCACCGAAACTATTTTTAACAAAGGCCACCTGGGACCTCTGGGGTGCTGAAGCCAATAGACACATGTTTAGCTTTTTATCTTTGTTCAAGTTCTGGGTTCATCTAACACTCCTTTCCTTTTTTAATTCAATCCTTTCTCATCCATGAAACCTGACTTTCTCCTGTGTAGCCTTTCAATCTCTGCCTTTTTTTAATGTTTTTTTTAAGCTCATTTTTCCGCTGCTTGTCCCTTAAATATTAATTTTTTTTCAGAGTTTTACCTTGATAGTTATCTTATTACCTTACCTGCCTCCCAGAGTGAGCTCATCACTGTCGTGGTCTTAGCCTCCATGTGGTATTGATGTTGATCTACTCATCCCCTTTAAGCTTCAGGTCCATAATTCCAGCATAAATTTCCACTTACAGATCTGTCAACCTTTCAAATTTAACAGTCCCAAACTCGGTTCTCCATCTCCTCCCTTCCCAAATTGGCTCCATTCCTTTGATAGCAGCTCAGCTCTGCAGCCCAGTCATAGAGCCTAAAGCCTCCTGGGATATTCTGGATCTGGCCCTCTTCCTCACTGCCATTCCTGATGAGTCATCAGATCTTTCTTTTCTACATCTTAGATCCACCCCTTCCTCTCTGTCACTTCTGTCTCTGCAGCTGCACCACCTCCAACAGGTCTCCCTCCCTCAGGACTGTATCAGGAGTCAATCAGAGGAGGTATTAGATGCGATTGGCTTAGGCAATGATACACCCCTTATTGTGGCAGCTGGATAAACAGGATTCTGTAAGGCTGCCTCTATCTGATCCTGTAGCCTGAAGTCCACAGGGCAAGTGCTCAGGAAGAGAAGATCAATGTGAAGTGGGGGGATCGAGAGCAGGCTGACCTCACAAGTATGAACTGGAACTCCATGAGGTCAGACTGACACTATGTTTGTTCTGACCCTGGTGGTCAGGGTGTCCTGCAGAAGTTGGCATCATTCATCACTGCTACTTGGAGAGATCTTTCTGAGAACCAAGTCTTTAAAACCTTTCTGTTATTCCCCAGTGCTTTAAGAATGCTATGTAAGTCCTTATAGCAGGGAGGGCCCTCAGGTCCCCAATGGCCTACTTCTCTGGCTTGGGATCTTATCATTATCTCTTCCTTTCCTTTCTGTCTTTTAACACACACACACACACACACACACACACACACACACACACACACACTGCATAAAACTACAGTAGAAAAAAATTAACCATACTACTTGGGGACTGATTTATTTAAAATTAACAGCATTTCTAAAGTTTAGATATTTAGTTCCAAAAGAGAAAACAGTTGAAAAATTATATCACTACCTGCTAAATTATAGAAAAGTTTGAGCATAATCACAAATTATAAGTCACAAGCCAAGCATCCCCCATATCAGAGGGAGATTTCAATATAAGGAGAATGGCCATGTGCTCCTACACAGGGCACTCCCTATTGTCATTGGTCATTTGCAACCATATGGTGTTTGTTAACTGCCACATGACACTGAATGATTACCCAGTTGGAACAAAAAAAAAAAGGATTGAAAAA